GCTGCGACCGTTGAGGAGATTCGGAAGGCCATCAGGTCCGCTCAGGAGAGGCAGAAAGTCTATGCCGATCGGGAGAGGCATGAACATGAGTATGCGGTGGGAGATCACGTTCTTCTGAAGGTTTCGCCCATGCGAGGGGTGATTCGCTTCGGGAATAAAGGGAAGCTTAAACCTCGCTATATTGGGCCGTTCGAGATCCTCGACCGAGTCGGGAACTTTGCGTATCGGCTGGCTTTACCACCAGACTTGTCGGGTGTGCACGACGTGTTCCATGTCTCGATGCTTTGGAGGTATGTGCATAATCCTGATCATGTGGTGGACTTCGGCGAGCTGCAGGTCGAGCGAGACCTTACCTATGAGGAGGTGCCGGTAGCTATACTAGACCGGAAGGTCCATCAGCTGAGGAACCGGGCAGTGAGCTTGGTGAAGGTGCTATGGAGCCGACACGATGAGACCGAGGCGACTTGGGAGAGGGAGGACGGTATTAGGAGGCGTTATCCGAACTTTGAGTTCTGAGTTCTCCTTTGTATTTTTATTGCTTTCTAGTTTCATTTTCGAATTCCGAGGTCGGAATTCTTTGTAAGGTGGGTAGACTGTAACGCCCCGTTCGTTTATGAATAAATTAGATTATTTTATTATTATTATTATTATTATTATTATTATTATTATTATTATTATTATTATTATTATTATTACTATTATTATTATTATTATTATTTGTGCTAATTTCCTAAATGTTATTTGTGTGTATTATATATGATTATTATATATTAATAATTATTGTGTATTATATATATAAATATAAACATTTATGTTCTGGTTTTATTTTAATTTGCCGTGCGACTAAACCGAGCCCGAAATATCATAAGTAACGAACCAATAAATTCGGCACGTGAGCCTAAAACCGGTGGTTCTCTCCCTCTCTTTTAAATTGGTGACTATTTATTAAGGGAATAAATTACTCATAAATTTCTTATTAATGGTAAGAAATTATTATTCTTAAAACTTCACAGCCGTTGAGAACATTCAGCATAAAGCTATCCCTTCTCAATCAACACGGCTCTCATATCTCTCCCTCTCGCATCTGATACTTTTCCGTCATCATCTTCCTCGTTTGAAAAATCCACCTCCGATCATCATCTTGCTATTATAACCATCATCCCGCCACAACAAGAATCCCACGTACAAAACCAGTGCCATCATCATCACCATCTCACGCCATCACTTAAGAAGACCCGCAGCCGTGCTCCTCCGTCCGTTGCTGCTCCTTCTCGAGAGCCCCGTTCGAGCACCACATCCTCCCTGTTCGTCCGGACCTCTGGCAGTCGTTTTTGCCGGCCGTTATTGACGTCAGCATCGTCCTCCACTCACGAGCAGACACCCCGAGTCTTGTGTGTTGGAGTTACTGTCCAAGTTCCAAAAGCCGTTCGTCTGACCCACTGTCGGGGCCGTTTCCCATTCGATAACTTGTACTTTCCCGAAGTCGGGTAACTTATTCTAATCCTCTCGTTAATACGGTCGTTTTCATATATCGCATGTTATATATATGTTGTGTTCGGTCTACCGAAAGTTGGTATGAAGATTCGATTTATTTGTTGATTTGTTGATTCGTATGTATATTTCGCTTATTCGTGGATTTTCGGAAGTGAATGGAACTCTCGATTTCGTAATAGTAAGTGTCGTTATGTTGCTGTGATATATTTGTATAAGTTCGGAGTCTCGTCTTGTCATTTTGAGCCATCATTAGATTGTACGGGTTGTTCGAGCCCCCGTCGTTCATTTTGTATATTTTGGTCGTTTCGTGTCTTTTCTGAGTAAACCCGTTTCAAATTATATTTTCAAAACTCGGTCATTATTCTCGTAAATGGTTGAACCTCTCGTGAAATTGAATTTGGAAATTCAGTCGAACCTGTGTTGTAAAATCTGTTAAAATTTGTTCAAAATGTAAAGCTGCAGTTCGAAACTCTCTGTAATGTGTTCAGTTGTTACATGTGCGCAGCTTTAGTTTTATTTTAATTTTCCCGTTTAAAAATCAGTTGAGCTTGTAGCCCAGTGGAACGCATTGCGCTGTTTCGCGTTGAGGTCGCGCGTTCGAATCTGGAGACCTGCAAAATTGTTTTTTTTTTTTTTAATTTAAGTGAAGCCCCAGGCGCGCGGGCTTCTTGGCCCGCATTAGGCCCGCGCTCAGCCGTCCTCGTGTCAGCAGAGGAGGCCCGCGAGCCCGCGTCCCGGCCCAGTGGAGGCCCGAGTGCCTTCAGCCCTTGTGGTTGTTGGGCCAAGCCCAATGACCGCGCGACTCAGGCCCAAATCCGCGGCAATTAGTGTGTAGTGGCCCAATTTGACTTCGTTTTGACCCGTTTTGTGTTCTGAAAACCTATTTTTCGACACCAACTTATTTCTAGAAAATTATTTTTAAATGAGAAAATATTTGGGAAAAAAAAAATTATTTAAGTCCCAATACTCCAATTTAATTCTCCAAGCCCCATCTTTCAAAAAATAAAAGAGTTCCAAGTCCACGAAAAAATTCAATTAAAACCCTTAAGACTTAATTTTTATTAAGTATGGGTTTTATGTTAAGTTTGAGTAGTGAGATAAAATATTTATAAATTATCTCGCTTAAATGTAGGTGTTTGAGGAGTCGAGCCTCATCCTACGTACTCTCTGGTGTGCAATATTCTGCGGCAATTTCCAGGTGGGTTGTAATTGTAAAAATTTGTTATGCCATATGAGTTTATCATGATGTTGACTTGGTATGATTTTAGTATGTACGTAAATCATGTAGCCTATCGGCGTGAGCCGATTCGGCCGTCGGTACGGTTGTCCCCGTCGATGTAATACGGTTACCTGCGAGGTAAGTCTCCGTAAGACCTAATGAAAGGTCGTGCCTTGTCGTATGGCACGTACCCCCATGAGTTAGGGTATTGAATCCCCTTTCCTTGGCTAATGAAAGATGTGTACACGTGGGTATTATGTTGTGATGTGATTAGGAGACGTGACATATTAATTTTTTTATGTTCATACTCTAACCATACCTTCTCTTCATTAATTATGTTGTGATATATGTGCATAGTGGTGAGCACGCTTTTCATCTTGTGCTCATCCCCACCTGCTCTTCACCGATGCAGGTTAAGCAGGAGCTGGGTGACGAGAAGAGGCGAGTGGGTCGGTCATTTCATTTTATGCTTCCGTAGAATAAATAAGGCTTTTTATGGACCTTTATGTGGAGACTCGTCTAAAACTCTTTCCAAAATTTATGTCATGTTTGTTTTTGGGAAATTTGTGGAAACCTTGACCATTGGGTATAATGATGTTGTTTGACTTTTCATGTTGAGTATTAAGTCTCGTATGATGTATTTTGGTTAATGAAAACTATTTGTGAAAACCGGGTAATGAATCCCCGTGGGCCCAGATAAGACTTGGGTTATGAAAATGTTGTTTAACACCCATTTAATTTCGAAAATGATTTTGAAAATTTTGTACTGATTTTTGGAAAGTCCGGAATTTCTGTAAAATCAAAGTGGGGTGTTACAGTTTGGTATCAGAGCCAGTCTGCGTTTCTGTAGACTGGCACATATGTGATTATGTGTTTAGACCTTGTGTTATGACCACTCGTCTCCGTCACTCCGCGCTGCTCAAGGTATGTATGATTTAAGTATTAATGAAAATACTTGAGATGTAAATGTATCACATGTGGTAACTACTTTCAGTATAACTGTTATATTTGGGGCTTAGGATCTATCCACCATGATTTAATTGAACTCTAGTGTTTTAATTGGCGAACTCTAGACTTCAGTAAGTCTTGATGATTTTGTTTGTTCTTGTGCTAAACCTCGTTCGACTTATTCAATGTAGAAGCATGAATACTCGCAACAACAACCGTAACCGTCAGCCATCCCCGACTCCTTCTCTACCCCGTCAGCACCAGGCCCCTCCGGCCATGGACCTCACTCAGCTTATCATTCAGTTTCAGCGGATGAATGCACCAACCTTTGCGGGGACTGAGAACCCCACACCAGTGCTAGAGTGGATCAAAGAACTGGACAAGATCTTCGCTGTGCTTCCCCTCCCTGACCGTCAGCGGGTGTCCCTTGCCGCTTATCAGATGAAGGAGGACGCCTCCGACTGGTGGATTGACCACTGGGCTAGGAGGCCAGAGGCGGAGCTCCATGCTCTTACTTGGGAGCAAATGAAGATGATGGTGCGAAGCAAGTTTGTCCCCCAGAGCTTTTGGGACAGAATGGAGCATGAATTCTACCACTTGCAGCAGGGTAGTTCCACAATGGATGAGTATGTCCGTACCTTCACCTGCATGTGCCTTTTTGCGGGCGACGCTGTGAACACCGACGCCAAGAAGTCTCGCAAGTTCCTCAAAGGGCTCAACCAGAGGATTCGTGAGTTGGTGGGCAGTCACGGGCAGATGTCTTATGCAGATACCGTGAGTAGGGCTCAGGAGGTAGAGAGCTGTCTCATTCCTTTGGCTCCAGTTCCTTTTTTTTATCAGGCTTCCCAGCCATCGCAGACCGTTGTAAAGCATGCTCAGGCCATCTCATCTGTGCCACCCGGCTCTAGCTCGGGCAAGAGGAAATTTGATTATCAGAACAAGAAGAAGAGCAAGAAAGGGAATTTCGGGAAGCGTGACGACCGTTCCTTTGTCAACCAAGCCTGCCCGAAATGCAGCCGATCCCACAGTGGCGAGTGCTTAGCTAACCAGCGCAACTGCTTCAACTGTAACCGTCCGGGACATTATGCCAATGTCTGCCGTGAGCCGAAGAGACAGCAACAGCAACAGCCGCCCTACCCTCAGCAGCAGCAACAGCTTCCCCCACCGCCCCCACACCAGCAACAGCAGCCCCCGCCGTTCCAGCAGAGGGCTGGGGGTCAGGCCCGTGTCTATACCATCACCCATGATGAGGCCGCTCGCAACACAGGTACCATGTCCGGAATGCTTTCAATATCCCATGTGCCTGTTTTTGCTTTATGTGATACTGGTGCTACCCATTCGTTTATATCATCTCGTTGTTTGGAGGCCTTATCTATTATCACTGTGCATGCTTGTGATCCTCTCGAGGTTAGCTTGGCCTCGGGAAAAATTATTATCTCTGATTCTGTGGTTCGCAATCTTCCTATTTGTATTGGTGGTCGAGTTCTGGAGGCCGATGCCTATGTAA